CAAGTGGAAAACAAAAAGCGTAACAAAAACTTCCAATGTGTTACTCATCCCATTAATCTTCTACTAGCATAGATTTCATATGCTAAAGAGTCAAAGTTTTTCTTTCCTTGATCCTGCTCCTTTATGCAACGTGAACATACTGAAAACGAGGAAATATTTTGCAGAGATGCCAACATTTCAAATAGAAAATAAGACACACAACTGAAAGTTCATACAAACAAAGATAAATATCTTTTAAAATATATTTTTTTAAAAAAAGCCATCCACACCATTATTCTTGCTATGAACAATTATTAAAAAACAAAGACCAGCACCACTAACTACTGAAAACATGTACATCTCCGGGGCTCTATTGCAATTATTTGGTTTTACAAATAAAAGATATAAGAAGATCAACACAGTAAATTGGTAAACATATCTTTCATGATACAACTTTTTACCTATTCTGCTTCTTGAAACAAATATTAAATGATAACATAGGATCCAGAATCCCATATTTGGGCTTCTAAAGCAGAAACAAGTTCTGGTTTCCAGAATGTACTGTAACACTATAAAAATTAGGTACCTCTGATAGCTGTGTTCAGTCTCAAAATCTATACAAAACTTTTCAGCCAAAATTAAAATCATAATCACTATTTCTGTGTCTAAATGCACAAAACCAAAAGTGGCAGGAGCATTCTAAAATTCAGTTATAGCAGCTACTGAAAAAGCAGGTATAGAGGAAAAAGTGTTATCCCACGAAAACAGGTTGGAATCAGTTTGAACTAAGATTGAGATAAGCCTGCAGGTACTTAAACTAGAAATGGAAGCCACTGAAAATACAGTTAAAATGCATTAGTGAAGAGCACTGCCACACTAAGAGCTCCAAATAGCACTTTACCTAATCTGAATCAGGTTTGCTGCCTCTTTTGCTTGCTACAAGCACCTGGCTGGCAATCGCTTCCTCAGGAAGCTCAAAATTCAGAGAAAACTGAGGGCAAAAGACCATTGCAGAAGTATAAATTGGAGAGTTTTTGTTTGTTTGTTTGTTTTTGTTTTATTTTTAAGCTCCTCCTTCTTCAATCCATACTGCTACAAAGTCTTCCAAGTTGGAAGAACTACTCTGGGTAATTAATCTGCAATACACAAATCTTCCCCATAAATTCCTATCTCACTTTCAAGTTCCCGTGAAATCTTCTGACATGGGTTGCAACACAGCCATAAACTTTAGATTTAATGTCTTTCAATACACAAAATGGAGGAAATATCGATTTAATACTAATATATGATTCATTAAAAGAATAATTTAGTTGCCATCCCTTTCTAAGATGCTGCAGAGCCCCATCTGCTGGTAGAAGTGTTACTCAGGAGTATTACGCCCCAGAGCTGATACACGATTTTTCCCAACAGCACCAGTTGATAACTGTTTTGTTTCTTTTATATGCATCCATAGACAAACACACACATACAGAAAAATCCTTAATTAAAAATACTTTTAATGAAAAAAATATAGAAGCCTTTGAAAATGTGCATTCCTTCCTAAATACTAAGAATTTACACAAACAGCTTCAGATTATCTTTCCCAACACTAGCTTATTTTCTTCGGTCAACGGAGACTGACAACATCAACTCATTTTTCACAAACATTCTAGTATGACTTAAAGTCATTCATAAAGAAGATGGCAAAGTGCACACTGGTTAAAGCGGGAGAACAAAATAAGACAACTTATCTTCCCCAGTTTCAGGTAAACTTCAGATATCATAGAATGGCCTGGGTTGAAAAGGACCACAATCAAGTTTCAACCCCCCTGTTATGTGCAGGGTCGCCAACCAGCAGACCAGGCTGCCCAGAGCCACATCCAGCCTGGTCTTGAATGCCTCCAGGGATGGGGCATCCACAACCTTCCTGGGCAACCTGTTCCAGTGCATCACCACCATCTCTGTGAAAAAATCCCCTTTTTTAATGCAGCCCAGAACACAGTTGGCCTTCCAGGCTGCAAGTGCACACTGCTGGCTCATGTCCAGCTTCTCATGCAGCCAGACCCCCAATTCCTTCTTCACAGGGCTGCTCTCAAGATCTGCCCCTAGTTTGTATAAATACCCAGGATTGCCCCAACTCAAGTGCAACACCCTTCACTTGGCCTTATTGAACCACAAATATATATTTGAGATAAATTCTTGTGTGGTATGGAATATAAAACATACAGTGGTGATTTATTTATGATTGTTTAGATTGGAATAAAGAGACTGAGATTTCTAACTTAAGGCAACTAATTCCAAGTATTTCTTTTTTCTTCATTAAAAAAAAAAAAAAATCCTTTCCCAAAAGGGGAAATTCTTAGTTTGTGATAAAACATTTAAGAGGGAAATACTTAGAAGAACAAAAAAGATGCATAATGGTTTGGCTAAATTAAAGAAAAAATGCGAATGGCTGCAGATCTTCTGATTTAATCAAAACTAAAAAACTGCCCTGCAATAGCAGTTTGATCTGCAGAACAGAACTCTCAGATCTGAAAAATCTCCACTGATACTGGGGTGATACCTTCAAACAATACATATCTTGCTGCATAGATTGAAGGACTGAATCACAGAAATTTACATACAAATATTCATTTCTAAGTATTCATGATAAACTGAACGTGCATAGTTTTGTGGCTCTGGATTATACAGAGATGTTAGGCTTCTAACTGTGTTTTGAGTCTTACCCAAATCAGATGCTCAAAGTAAATACTGCAGATATCCTGAATGTCTGTTACCATGAATGTTCCCATTAAAAAGAAAGAGGAACGAGCTTCTGCTGCCTGGATTTCAACTACAAATTCTAAGCAGGTGTTTTTGGAAGAAAACAGCAAAGGAAAAGCTGAAGGAAGGTACAGGATTGGGAAAGAAAAAAAAAAGGTACATCTACATCTGCTTTCAATTGTTTGTTTTATGCTTACATCAGTAAATAGACAACTCCAGGCAGTGGTGGAGAGCCAAAAAATTCCCAGAAGAGAAATTATTACTGTTGTAGTCCTTAGAGATTTGTGGGCTCATGACCCTAGAAAGTTAGAGAGATTAGCTGCATAACATCAAGACAATGCTTAATCTGACTGTGCCCTCTACTGGCTTGAAAGGTAAAGACACTACAGCTCATACCATCAGTCTTCAAACTCATTAAGGAAAAAACAAAAACAAAAAAAAAAAAAACACCCAATAAAAATCATTTCCAGACATTCCTCTGCAGACTACCTTTCAAAATACTGAAGTGCATTTTAATAGGCTTCATAACAGCTACACTGTCACTTAAGTAATGTTCTACACTCCTATAGCCTGAAGTGTTGCCAGTATTTACACACTCCATGTAAACTGAATTCCCATGGTTCAGGGCACATACAGCAAATCCATTCCTTTGACAATCAGCTTTACTTTTAAATACTGCTTCCAATCAAGGTTGGTAGCACCAACCCTTCTACCTCATTAGAAGAAAACCAACAGGCTATTATTCATATTGTTTAATAATTTTACATAACAATGACAACTTTTTTTTTTTTTTTTTTTTTTTTTTTAAAGATTGTTTTACCAAGTTTAGTACATCCACAATTACATTCACTCAACACTATAATGAGGCTTAGGGGCAGTAAACAAATACTAAATAAGTGGTAGGACAGTTTAAGACAAAGTCACACTTAGACATACTTAAGTCAAAGGCAGATACAATTTTGTACAACACAAATATACATTGCTGCTTACCAAAAGAAAAAAAAACATCAGCACTTTTTGTATATCTTAGTATTTTCCTTTTAAGGCTGTTCATCAGACAGCAAACAAGATTTAAATTATTCAGTACTTTAAGCAAGACCTGTTAGAAGAAAAATTACCTTTATTTTTCCTATTTTGCCTCAATGAAAAAGATGTACAAAAATGCTCAGAGTATTTGAACTTGGATAGTCTGACAGGTTAAAGTGGCAAAAAGTGAAAAGGTGGAAGCTTTACTCATGCTAAAAGACCTGGGTTTTTTTTCTTTTCTGTGAAAACCAGTAGACATGGAGGAGAAAAAAAAAAACTGGAGCTGTGTTTAAGACTGAAGAACACCACTGCTTCAAAGATATGAGATCAGCATCTACTTCACATGCCCCCATGGCAAAGTCAGGGGAACGAAAAAGAAAACAAACAATCCTATAAATACATATATATGTACATAAAAGTCAAGCTAAATGACACTAAATTATCTACCACAAATAAAACAGTGAAAAAGCAAAGAAAACTCAATTTTAGCGAGAATTTTGGGGAAAGGAGTAGAAGGAAATGCACTCTAACATGAAATCAGAATTTAAACTAAATTTTAGAGTTATTTCCTCTCTTTTTAGAAATATGCTGATACAAAAGCTGTTCTTCACCTTCTCTACTTGCTAAGATTTATTTAAAACCCCTGAATTTGAGAAAAAAAGTTTCAGGGAGTAGCATAGAGATGTGAGAGGCGAGGGTCAGGTTGGGTGTTAGGAAAAACTTCTTCACCAGAGGGTGGTGAGCACAGAACAGGCTCTGCTGGGGCCACAGTTGTGCCCTGAGTTGCCAGAGTTCAGGAAGCATTTGGGCAATGCTCTCAGACATAGGACTTGGACTCTGTGTGGTCCTTTGTGGAACCAGAAGTAGGACTCCTTACAGGTCCATTCCAACTCAGGATATTCTATGATTATGAAAGGAAAAGTAAGACTTACTATATTGACCAAGTGAACTAAGAATTGAAATCAAAGTCATAAAAGTTAGAAGGAAAATACACTAAGTATTAAATATTCAAAAATGAAAGAAACTTAGAGTGAAAAGCCTCCTCAGACCACAGTAGGACACGTATATATAAGACCCAGGAGAGTACCTGTAGTAGCAGTCACTTATGCCTGATACTGAAAAGCATCTCCTCCCACTCTGAACACGTTACAACTGCCAAACACATGAGCAAACTTTATTCCCAGAAAACCATTACTTAATACAGTATTTTCAAGCCCACTGATAAGTTCAAAAAGCATCTTGTTTTACATTACCTTTATTGTTTTATCCATAGAAGCTGAGAGAAGCATATGACTTTGTTCTCGTACAGTACACCACTGGATTGCATTAACAGGGCCGCTGTGTTTAGACATATGAAATATTAAGCTTTTTGGAACTTCAGTTAATTTATACCTGGATCCTAAATATGGCTTAATTAATTCAGATATCTTTCTCACTGTCTGCTCTCCTGATATATCTAGCTTCACATCACAACTGGTGCTCTCGCTTTGATCAGACTCCTTTTTTTCACAGGCACTGGAATTTTCTTGACGTAACCTTTTAGGGATATACGGTCTGATTCCTTTTGGGGCAGTTGGACTATCTTCATGTGTTCTCTTCTGGGAAGCACCATTTCCAGAGTTTCTTGAAGAGCTCAATGTCTGCTCATAGTTTTTGTAGGACATACATAATGCAGTAGGACTAGAGGACGCTCTCCTACAGTAAGATGTCAAATCACTGTTATTATTCAGTGCATAATGCTCAGGGGGATCTTCACAAACAACGCTCATGTCAAAATTGCCAGTGTTCTCAGTAAGCTGCGTTTCATATGTAGATTTTGTACTCAAAATACCAGGTGCAAAGTGCTGAACAGGATTTGCAGAAGAACTCGGAAGGCTTGCTTGTCTGCTAGTACTGAGATCATCAGCTTTTTCAGTTTCTGCCTCAGGGTCTGAATCATCATAAGCAACCAGTGAGGAACTCATTATGGCTGGATACAGCAGACTCCAGAAATCTCGTGCTGGAATCCTCCAAATGATGATCTACAACAAAGAATTGACCATTCAGAGCACAATTCATTACGGACCCTACAGTTTCAATAACTTAAGTTCTTAAAATCCTTAACTGTTAAATTCCTGTTTATTCCTGGAATTTATTTTTCTATTATAGCACATATGTACATTCAATTATGCAACATAATGTGCCTCTAAGCACTTTGCATACATTTTTTATGCTTTGCAGAGATACATTTGTATGAGACAAAACTATAAAAATGAGTATGGAAAGAAAAACAAACTACAGCAAATCACTCTCCCCTTGCTTGCAATAGCATTCCCTCCCCCTTGCACACAAACCAAAGGCTAATGTAACTATGCAGGCATTTTAGGATATTCATTTATAAGAATATGAATACAAGTACTTTGGAATGAGACTAACAGTATTTATTTCTTTCAATTCATCTGTGTTGTTATGTGTGAAGGGATTCAATTGGCAACAAAAATAAAATGCAGACTGCTCTAAAAGTAATGCTATATTATATTGGTCCATAACATGAGAGTTGGATGCTGGCAGCAGAGGCTCAACCTTCTCACCAATATCCCACTGCATTTTGTTGCTGTGCAACAGATGGCAGCAGAGGAGCAGTCTGACACAATGGCATTTGACGTGAAAGTGTGTATGAAGCAAAGGTGCGTCACTGAATCCTTTCAAGCAGATAAAATGGCACCCACTGATACTCGCTGATGCTCGCTGAATGTTTAAGGAGACCAAACAGTGGATTGAGCACAGTGAGGTGCTGGGTGATGCATTTCAGCAGTGGAGGCAGTGACAGTGACCTCCACTGGCGCAGATTTTAACTGCAGCATGCAGGCTCTTGCTCACAGCTGGCAAAAATGCGTAGCTAATGGTGGTGACTATATTGGAAAAGGCTGTTTTGTAGCTGAGAATTTGTAAGTTCCACACAGCCTGTAGTTTTACATAAGACACATGCCAGAAGCTACATGAAACTCAGTGTTTGCTTTTACTTACAGAGAGTAAAAGCATGAATATCTCCGCTTACTGTGGAACAAACTTTTTCCAAAGCTTCTATGAAAAGAATTCCCACACTGAGACCACATATACAACAAGCTGAATAATTTAACATTGTAACAATCCCAAAAAACCTATTCCCAAAAATTTCAGTGGTGCACATGGAGTATAGATTTAATTGCATTCAAACAACTGACATTTCCACAAAAAGTAATCTTCAAAACTCTAGTCTTTACAATCAAAAAGTAGTGTTATCTTCCAATTGCTAAGATTAATGAAGTGACACACTATCTCTGCTTTGTTTTCTTATTTAGACGTTACTGCTCATCATGCTACAACTATTTAGCCTACAACACTTTGCTTTCAGACAAGAGGCTATCCTCAAAAGCTCCTTGATTATAATGAGAATGCAATGCTGCCTGAACGTCAGCATCTACAAAAGCATTTGCAGAACTGATGCCACAAATGAGAGTCCTACGAATACTGCTGCAGTAGTACACTGGAACTTGTAAGAATTCCTCATTTAACTTTTCAAACTAAAACAAGTATGCTTCCATTAACCTAAAGAATTAACCACAGGCTATGGTCTGCATTCTGTAACACTTACAAGCAACATCCAGAAAACACGTTCCTATTAAGGCATACATATATATTATTGTATATATTTCTATATATAAAATATGTATCCAATTCCTCTCAAATGATCAAGGTGCTTAACTGAAACAGTATGACCAACATTTTAGTTTATAAAAGCATCAAGATCCCCCTCTAGAGGACTCGTTTGAAAACAGTAAGACACCTTCATTCCAAACCTGCCATTAAATAAATAGTTACATTAAAGGACTGCATTTTGCAACAGTTACACTAAGCGGTTACTTTTTGTATTGCAAAGTTGCAAACAGGCTCCCACCAGAATTCCTGGTTTTTAAAGAGCAAACACAGCGAGAAGATGACCTCTGCCTCAAAGCTATAAAAGAAGATATACAAGTAGAGTGGATTAGGCTTTCACTTTATTTAAACAAACAAAACCAACAAAGGACAACAACAACAACAAAAACACCATTAAGCTGAGGTTCTGAGGCAACTACAGGAATCACAAAATCACAGAATTGTAGGGGTTGGAAGGGACCTCCAAAGATCGTCGAGTCCAACCCCCCTGCCAAAGCAGGTTCCCTACAGCAGGTCGCACAAGTAGGTGTCCAGGCAGGTCTTGAATATCCCAGAGAAGGAGACTCCACCACCTCCCTGGGCAGCCTGTTCCAGTGCTCCGTCACCCTCACTGTAAAGAAGTTCTTGCGCACATCTGTGCAGAACTTCCTATGCTGCAGTTTCCAGCCGTTTCCCCTTGTCCTGTCTCCATGCACTGCTGAAAACAATCTGGCCTCACCACTCTGCCCCCCGCACCTTAGATATTTGTAGACCTGGATCAGGTCCCCTCTCAGTCTTCTTTTCTCAAGGCTGAACAGACCCAGTTCACTCAGCCTTTCTTCATAGGGGAGATGCTCCAGGCCCTTCACCATCTTTGTAGCTCTCCGCTGGACTCTTTCCAAGAGGTCCCTGTCTTTTTTGTACTGGGGAGCGCAGAACTGGATGCAGTACTCCAGATGAGGCCTTACCAGGGCAGAGTAGAGGGGGAGGATCACCTCCCTCGACCTGCTGGCCACGCTCTTTTTAATGCACCCCAGGATGCCATTGGCCCTCTTGGCCACAAGGGCACACTGCTCGCTCATGGCCAACCTGTCATCCACCAGGACACCCAGGTCCCTCTCCTCAGAACTCCTCTCCAGCAGCTCATCCCCCAACCTGTACCGGTGCATGCAATTATTCCTCCCTAGATGCAAGACTCTACACTTGCTTTTGTTAAACCTCATCTGGACATTTCCTTGTATTTAGAATCACAGAATGGTTTGGGTAGTAAGAAACCTTAAAGCCCATCCAGTTCCAACTCCCTGCTATGAGCTGGCTGCCCCCCACCAGGTCAGGCTGCCCAGTGCCCTATCCAGCCTGGCCGTGGGCACTTCCATCTCTTTGGGCAGCAGCTCTACAGCATCACCATTCTCTCAGTGAAAAAATTCTTCCCAACATCTAACCTAAGTCTCCCCTCTTTTAGGGGAGATTTCCCATTACCCTATCACTATCAACCAGTGTAAAAAGCTGATTTCTCTCCTGTTTAAAAGCTCCTTTTAAGAACTGGAAAGCCACAGGAAGGTCTCCCCAGGGCCTTCTCTTCTTCAGACTGAAGAAACCCAATCCCTCATGCTTCCTTAGAGAGGAGCTGCAGCCCTCTGAGACAGGATTTCCAGGTTAAAAATAAAATAAAATAAAATAAAATAAAATAAAATAAAATAAAATAAAATAA